GGGGGGTGGGGGTCGGGCTGCGGCCTCCGAGCCTGGCGCCCCCGGGTCTCGGTCCTCGGAGGCCGGGAGGAGGCGGGCGGCGTCCGAAAGGGCTCTTGGGCTCACGCGTTCATTCATTGCGCCCGAGTCAGGAGCGGCCCGGCCCTTTCCCTCTTGTCCACCGGCGGGTCTTCCCCCCCCGCAGCCCCCACTGGGAGATGCCCATTCCCCTGGTGGGGAAACGGAAACACTGAAAGGTGAGGTCGTTGGATTCGAACCCGGGTCTCCTGACCTGGAGACCCTGCCCTTCGGCAGCCGAGAACAAGAGGGGCGCCCCGGGAAGGGGCCGAAGGGTGGGATCGGGGCGATGGCTGTGGGAAAAGACCCGAAGGTGTGAAGCTGGAGGCCTCGGGAGGGAGGGCGGAGGGCATCTTGGTGGTTAAGGACCCCCCACTGGGCTCCCGAAGATCGCAGTTTTTTGTGTGTTACGTTTTGTTTTTTAAAGACAGGCTTTCTCCGGTTGCCCAGGCTGGAGTGCAGTGGCACGCTCACGGCCACCACAGCCTGGACCTGCTGGGCTCCGGCGAGCCTTCTGCTTCAGCCTTCCAAGAAGCTGGAACAACAGGCGTGTGCCACCACGCTCAGCTAAGTTTTTGATTTATTGTAGAGTCAAGGTCTCGCCAAGTTGCTCAGGCTGGTCTCGAACCCCCGAGCTCAGGCAGTCCTCTCACCTCTGCCTCCCAAAGTGCTGGGATGACAGACATGAGCCACCATGCACAGCTGTTTTGTCTTTTTCTACTCGTTCTTCAGGGCTTTGTCTCCAGGTTCAAGTCCAGGCTGCCTGACCTTGGGTGGGTCCCTTAGCCTGAGTCTCCCTTTTCTCTTCCTAAAAGGACCCACCACTCCTGCAGTGGTTGCAGGGACCTGACTTGCCTGGCGTTAGTCAGGTATTCCTCTACTCACCTGTCCCCACTCATCTGTCACGTGGCTTGTGGAGGAAGTGAGTCTCCAAACCTCTTCACCCATCTCTGAGATGGGAAAGGCGTGGTTGCTGTCTTTCCTAAACCTGTGCAGGAGTTGCTCCCCCGCTTCCCTCACTGTCATGCTCCTGCATCCCTAGGAGACAGGGCTGTTTTGACGGAGCCTCCTTGAACGGATTCCAAGGCACTGGGCTCAAAGAAGGCACGTCTTGCTCCATGTCGTCTGCCAGCACTCACCTGCGAACCTCGAGGGCAGAGGCCCCTCGCAGAAGACCCCAGCCTGCAGCATGGGGATTATGGCTTACTGCCTCATTACTTTGAGGATTAGGTGGAATAGAGAGGGCAGTCTCTGTGAGTGTGAGTTGTTATTCTCAGTGTGTGGTTTTTCCTCTCTCACCACAGAGCAAAGAATCATGGCAGCAAGGCGCATTGCACAGGAGACTTTTGATGCTGTGTTACAAGAAAAAGCTAAACGATACCATGTGGACCCCAGTGGTGAGGCTGTAGGTGAAGCTCTTCAGTTTAAAGCACAAGGTAAAAAATATTGGTAGGTGCCATCTGGGGACCAGGTCAGAAGGATCTTGAAGCCTTGGCAAGCTTTGCAACTTCTCTGGTCCTTGCTTTCCTTACTTGTTAAGAGGAAGTGTTTTCTCTGGACACACCTGTCTGTCACATGGTTAAGCAGAGGGCGGTATTGCCGTTATCTGGTGCTTCTTGTCAGGCATCCTCCTCTGCCTAAAGATGGGATTTTTGAATTGATTTCCTGGCTCCGTCCCTACCACCGTTGCCCAGCTATAAGCTCTTGTCAGTTCTCATCTGGATTATTGCAACACTCTCCTTCTGCAAGGTCTCTCTGTTTCTGGCTTCATTTCCCTCAAATCTGCCCTCCACATAGTTGCTCCATAGGTTTGTTAGTGCCAGCTTTACTGGGCCACTGCTCTGCTTGAACTCTTGGGGCTCCACATTGCAGGGTTACATCCTCAGACAACTGCAGGAGCAGACAGGTAGCAAGATACATGCAAGACAGGAGGTCATGGGGGCCTGTAAAGTTGCTGAGTGTAGGCACTACCTGCAAATATTCCTTTTGGAAAGTTCTGACACACCTCGCCAGCTGAATCAGAAATGGTGCCTGCACAGATTGCATGATGGCATGGAGATTCCTCACCTCCTGCCTTGGGCCTCATATTTCAGTGCTACTTGGCTGCCTGCTGTCTGTGCTCTGAATCCTTTCTGTCCCAACTCTTCTTGGTTAATTCCCTCGGGTGCCAAGACTGTTTATTGGTGCCTTCCCCCAGGAAGCCTCAGCAGGACTTTATATTGATTTGGTTGCTTTTCCCTGCCCCTGAGAAGTACGCTGCGTCCTCTTCCACTTGTTTCCTTTTAGTAACACAGGCAGTGCTGCTCTCACTACTCCAGCCTTTGGGAGAAGAGGTTTCCTCAGTGTTGTTTAAATAATTCTAAAAGTGTTTGGGAGCTAGGCGTGGTCGCTCACATCTATAATCCCAGCATTTTGGGAGACTGAGATGAGAGGATTGCCTCTGAGCCCAGGAGCTTGAGACCAGCCTGGGTAACATGACGAGACCTTATCTCTAAGTAAGTCAAAAAGTTAGCCAGGTGTGGGGGTGCACTCCTATAGTCCTGGCTACATGGGAGTCTGAGATGAAAGGATCACCTGAGTCTAGCAGATGGAGGCTGCAGTAGCCGTAATTGTGCCACTGTATTTCAGTCTGGGCAACAGAGTGAGACTTTGATTCAGAAAAATAGATGAATTAAGTAATTAAAGTGTTTGGCGTAGGAATAATAAACATGATTCAGACCTGAAGTAATCAAGACTCAAAGGTTTTCTACATATTGAGTTAAAAAATTACCTGAGTACTACATACAAATGTTCCTGTTATAAACTATTGGACCAATTAAGTAAAGCAGAACATAAAAGTTTTCTTAGCCTCTTCATCTCTCAGAGGTGACTACATCTGTGGCGTTTTGTGCATTCTTCAATTATTTTACATATGTATTTATGTAATCCTGATTGCTTATGTGTTTCCTTTTTTTTTTTTGAGTTGGAGTCTCACTCTGTCGCCCAGACTGGAGTGCAGTGGCCACTCCCGCCCACCGCAGCCTCGACCTGCTGGGCTCCGGCAATCCTTCTGCCTCAGCCTTCCAAGTAGCTGGAACTACAGGTGCACAGTACCACGCCTGACTGATTTTTGATTTATTGTAGAGGTGAGGTCTCGCCAAGTTGCCCAGGCGGGACTCGAACCCGCGGGCTCAGGCAATCCACTCACCTCGGCCTCCCAAAGCACGGGATTACAGGCTTACTTATATGTTTCTATAGACAGGCTTAAATCTTGGTTTGACTTAGTTTAAGTAGAGGCTCAAGCACCAATACATGGTCTTAATTACCTCAAGAAGGATTAGCGGGATAGGAACCTAGCAGGATGCTAGGTGGTTCTGGAACATCTCTATCGTAAAGCTGCTTGTAGGTTACTCTTTTCTCTGTGTTTCTACTCTAATCTGAACTTTTCCTCTTCTTGTAAACCAGGGTATTGGAAAAGTTTGTGTGCAGAATCCAGCCACCACTCTCTAGTGCTCCTGCCCTAATCATGCCATCAGTACCAATAACCAATACCTGGGTTATTGTAGAGGATTTTTTGCTAAAACATCCACATTCCCTCTTATCTCCTTTGATCTGTTTCCCCACACAGCAGCCAGTGTGGTCATTCCTCTGCTCAGAACCCCTCAGTGGCTTTCTTTCTCACCCAGAGCAAACTCCAGAGTCCAATTGAGGGTCTGACTTGATCTGGGACTCCTCCTCCATTTGCAGTCTCATTATAGTGCTCCCCTAGCTTTACTGCACATGAGAATTGTCTAGGGACCTTTTAGAAATCCTGATGTTCAGGTCATGCCTCATCCTAATTAATAAGGGTGTCTGTGGAGGGCAGCCCCTGGGGACCCCAGTAGTAGAGTTTGGGAACTACCTTCCTACCACTTTGCCTCTTGCTCCCTCTGTTCCCTTCTGGCCACATTGGCCCCCTATTGATCCTACCTCTGGGCCTTGTGGTCATGCCCCTCTTCCTGGAAGGCTTCCCCCTGTAACCACAAGGTCTGGCATCTCATGCCAGCCTGCTGCTGCTAGATACATTGTTGTCAGAGCTACCCTCCTTGATGAGCCTGTCTAAACATGGCCTTCCTGCCTCAGATTCCCACCTGCTTGATCTCTCTTGTGCTATATTTTATCGTCTGGTTCTCTCAACTGACAAGTCTTTGAGAATTTTCCTTTCCCTACTATCACTTCAGTGTCTTGTGCAGTGCCTGCACACAGTAGGTGCTTAACATGTACTTGTTGAACAGATGAACTTAGATTTGCACAAGGCTTTGGCCTCCTGTGGCCTCAGCCCATTACCATCTCCTGGCATCTCTATTTCCATCTCATCTGATTTTTTTTAATAGGCCATAGATTTTGATTCAAAAGCTTGAAAGTTAGAAAGACACTTCATGAAGGGTCTCCCTGAGGCCCACTATTCCCATATGCCCGAAGTTCACTCTGTTCCTAGCTTCTTGCAGAGTTTCTCCATGTGTAAATAAGCAAATACAGGTACATGTTTCCCCTTTTCTTCACCAAGGAGGACAAAAATTGACCCAGTTCAGTTTCCATTGTGGCATCTCTTGATGTGGCTCGCTCAGCTTCTGTCATCCCTGCTGCCTGCCTCAGTCTCTGTTTTTTCAGCTCCAGAGAGGGTTGATTGGCCTAGTGGATGTTTTCAAGGGATTGTTTCAGCCAGCTTCGGGTTGACTGTGGTAGGGTCAGTGTCAGTCATAGCTCCAGCCTCACGGTGGCACTGTGGACCTGGGCTTCCTTCTGGGGGGCAGTGAAGATAACCTTTATGAAACCCGTCTGCTGTGAGATAGAAGTAGAAACGCAGAAGTGTTCCAGTTACAGTAAAGAAGTTCAGGTTATTTGGAAACTGAACATTCTTCCTTCAGTCTGAGAGAGAGATTGTATACCTAGACGGCTATAGGGCCAGGGTAGGGGATCTGAATGAGTGATTAGTGCCTGTGGCAAGTTGGAGAGGCTGTTAAAGAAACAGATATATAAAGTTCTGCTGATAGCTAGATGGTCCATCCATTTGCAGCTTCCAGTCTAAAGTACCTTTGGTGTGTGCTTTTTTTTTTTTTTAATCATTTATTTCAGATCTCTTAAGGGCAGTCCCAAGATCCAGAGCAGACATGTATGATGACGTTCACAGTGATAGCAGATACTCCCTCAGCGGATCTGTAGCTCACTCTCGAGACACTGGGAGAGAAGGCTTGAGAGGTGATTTATTTCCAGGACCTTCATATAGATCAAGCAACCTTTCCATCAGTGATGACAACTACTTTCGCAAAGAATGTGGTCGAGACCTGGAATTTTCTCACCCTGACTCCAGGGACCAGGTCATTGGCCTCCGGAAATTGGGACATTTTCGTTCTCAGGACTGGAAATTTGCACTCCGTGGCTCTTGGGAACAAGACTTTGGCCATTCAGTTTCTCAAGAGTCATCTTGGTCACAGGAGTATAGTTTTGGTCCCTCTGCAGTATTGGGGGACCTTGGCTCCTCCAGACTGATTGAGAAAGAATGTTTGGAGAAGGAGAGTCGGGATTACGATGTGGACCATCCGGGGGAGGCTGACTCTGTGCTTAGGAGTAGTGGTCAAGTCCAGGCCAGAAGCCGAGCTGTAAACATCGTTGACCAGGAGGGTGCCCTCCTAGGAAAAGGGGAGACTCAGGGCCTGCTCACAGCTAAGGGGGGTGTCGGGAAACTTGTCACACTGAGAAATGTGAGCACGAAAAAAGTACCTGCTATAACTCGTATTGCCCCCAAAACTCAGGGCACTAACCAAATCCAGAAAACTACTCCAAGTCCTGATGTAACCCTGGTGACAAACCCAGGAACAGAAGACATCCAGTTCCCCATTCCCAAGATCCCTTTGGGGCTGGATCTGAAGAATGTTCGACTCCCTAGAAGAAAGATGAGCTTTGACATCATAGATAAGTCTGATGTCTTTTCAAGATTTGGAATAGAAATAATCAAATGGGCAGGATTCCATACCATAAAAGATGATGTTAAGTTTTCCCAACTTTTCCAGACACTCTTTGAACTGGAAACTGAAACCTGTGCTAAAATGCTTGCCTCATTCAAATGTTCCTTAAAACCAGAGCACAGAGATTTTTGCTTTTTTACTATCAAATTTTTAAAGCACTCTGCTTTGAAAACACCCAGAGTGGATAATGAGTTTTTAAACATGCTTTTAGACAAAGGTGCTGTGAAGACCAAAAATTGCTTTTTTGAAATCATAAAGCCCTTTGACAAGTACATAATGAGACTTCAAGACCGGCTTCTGAAGAGTGTCACTCCTCTGCTTATGGCCTGCAATGCCTATGAGCTGAGTGTCAAGATGAAAACCCTCACTAACCCCCTGGACTTGGCTATTGCCCTGGAGACCACCAATTCTCTCTGCCGGAAGTCTTTGGCCCTTTTGGGACAGACGTTCTCCTTGGCTTCTTCCTTCCGACAAGAGAAAATCTTAGAAGCCATTGGCCTTCAAGATATAGCTCCCTCTCCAGCTGCTTTTCCAAACTTTGAGGACTCTACTTTGTTTGGGAGAGAATATATAGACCACCTGAAGGCCTGGCTGGTCAGCAGTGGGTGTCCTCTCCAGGTCAAGAAAGCTGAGCTGGAGCCAACACGAGAAGAGGAGAAAACAGTTCCTCCTGTAAAACCCGAAATTCAGGCCAAGGCTTCGAGTGGTCTGAGTGATGGTAAGGAAAACAGTGAAAGTTTTTATTTGTTTTTTGTGGTTTTTTGGTAATATCTCTTATTGATGGTTTCTTTCTTTTTTAAATTTTTTTGAGTTGGAGTCTCACTCTGTCACCCAGAATGGAGTGTAGTGGCACGCTCCCGGCCACCACAGCCTCGACCTCCTGGTCTCCGGCGATCCTTCCGCCTCAGCCTTCCAAGTAGTTGGAACTACAGGCATGCACTCCCATGCCTGGCTAATTTTTTGATTTATCGTAGAGATGAGGTCTTGCCAAGTTGCCCATGCGGGTCTTGAACCTGCAGGCTCAGGCAATCCATTCACCTCGGCCTCCCATTCACCTCAGCCTCCTCTTGAACCCACGGGCTCAGGCAATCCACTCATGAACCTGGCCTGGTAGTTTCTTTACGTAGATGCTGTTTAGCCACCTGGAAACAAATCAGGATTTTAGTAGGAAACTCACATTTTCCGATACATATATCTGCCATTCATTTTGCGAACATGTATTAGGAATCTTCTGTTTATCACAGAAGTCTTTAGATGTTTTTGGGTAGCAGACCCCTTTGAGAATCTAATGAAAAACTGTGGCCCTGGCCAGGAAAAGTGCACATGTATTCATATACAATTATATCTACCGTTTCTGGGGATGGAGGGGTGTATGCCCCCTAAAGTATTACTAAAAGGGAGAATAAACACTAGACACTGTCTCTGAAGAGTCCCCAGGCCCCCGAGGGAAGGAAACCACAAAAATTAGATGCTCCTAAGCCAGGCATAGTGGCGTGTACCTGTAATCCTAGCTACTTGGGAGACTGAGGCTGAAGAATCACATGAGGCCAGGCGTTGAGCCTGCAGTGCACTTTGATCATACCTATGAATACACACTTTACTCCAGCCTGGGCCACATAGCAAGAACCTGTCTCTAAAAACACAAAACATGACCAGGCGCGGTGGCTCACGCCTATGATCCCAGCGCTTTGGGAGGCCAAGGTGAGAAGATTGCCTGTGTTCAAGACCAGCCTGGACAGCTTGGTGAGACCTCATCTCTACAATAGATCAAAAAAATTAGCCAGGCATGGTGGTGCACACCTGTAGTCCTAGCTACTTGGAAGTCTGAGGAAGAAGGATTGCCTGAGCCTAGCAAGTCGAGGCTGCAATGGCCATGAGCATGCCACTGCACTCCAGCCTGGGCAGCAGAGTGAGACTCCAGCTCTAAATAAATAAATAAATAAATACAAAACAAAAAACCATTCACTCCTGTGAATAGGAACTCAGGGGCCGCTCAGCCCAGCATGGGGAGTTGGGAGGCCATGTCTGAGTGTGTTGTGGGACACACAGGGACCCGCCCTGTCATTTCAGGTAGTTGGAGGCACCGTTTCACCCTGCTTGCTTTTCCAGACTGACTGCAGTCAACAGATCACTTAGGTACATTCCAGTAACTAGAAGCTACTGGCTTCCTGGAGAGGGGAAAAGACCAAGGGGGAGGGATAGAAATGGCCTGTTTGGCTTCCCTCTTCCCTCTCCCTTAGCTCCCAGAATGAACGCTGTCACAGCCCAGACATCCCAGAGGTCATGCGCATATGTGGTAGCCATGTTCTTTCTTACTCCCACAGTCAGGGAGAAAGCACTTTTCCCCCTGATGGGGTTTTCAGCTTCCATTGTCCCCAGCACAGTGGGGACGTCTCATTTGTCCCTGACTCTCTTCACTCCTTCCTCACTCTCATGGAGCCCCAACTGCACCAGGCACTGGATAGGTCCCACCACATATGGAAGACCACACCTGCTCCTTGAGAGAAATTCTTTCAGAAGCAGGCTCAGGACTGAAGCAGAGCCCTACTCTCCAGAGTGATGGGATGCTGAAGAACGTTGTGTGATGGAGAAAGTCACCCGTAACTTCACATAGCCCACCACCTTCCTAGTCTCATGATGTTCCCCGGGCATTTCTGCAGCTGTAGGCATACTGGACTGAAAACATGACCATCTACTTTTACATGATTGTCAGAAGACCCTCTTCTGTATTTCTACAGTGTTGGCTACATCATGATATTGACTTAGCATGAATTGCCTCAAATTGCCCTTGATGTTGAACTTGTGCTGCCTTTTTTTTTTTTTTGAGTTGGAGTCTCATTCTGTCACCCAGGCTGCAGTGCAGTGGCACTTTCAAGGCCACCATAACCTCAACCTGCTCAGGTGATCCTTCTGCCTCAGCCTTCCAAGTAACTAGAACCACAGGCATGCACCACCACACCTGGCTAATTTTTTGATTTATTGTAGAGACGAGGCCTCATCATGTTGCTCAGGCTGGTCTTGAACCCCCGAGCTCAGGCAGTCCTCTCGCCTCCGCCTCCCAAAGTGCTGGGATTACAGGCATGAGCTACTGTACCCGGCTCATACTGCCTTTTATGAAGGCTTTTGAAGCCACAGAGAGCTGGGTTCAGATGTAACTGGCATCTGCAAATCTCCATTCCATGTCTGGACAGCAGGATAGCCAGTGACAGGGCCCACGTCTCATGGGGCTGCTCTATTCTGTTAGAAGTACTGGGTGACATCTTTGGTTGAATGTATTGGTTATTACTATTATTTTATCTTTTCATTTTAAATTATCCTTCAAAAGATACATTGTCAGGATTAGGATTGCTGAGCCAAAACTGACACACTTTCTGGCCCTTACTTAACGATTATCCCAGTTAGAGGTGACCACATTTAAAAGGATCCCCAAATGTCATTGTCTTTAAAAGCTTCTAACTTTGAACCTCAAGTTTCTTTTGTAAAATCATGTAAAACTAGCAATTCCATAAAAAGAGAGCCAAGAAAAAAAAAAACAATTTCATACGGAACATACCTGAGATAACTTGACAGCTAAAGGATTGACTTATCATGTGTGAAACACTCACACTGTTGTTTAAAATAAGCTCAAAGCTATAATGCAGACATAGGCTGGGGAAGGACTATGCAGTCATTCACAGAACAAACTGGAAAACCTCTCCACTTCAGCAGCGATTTTAGTTGAATGACTGAACAAATAGACCATTATGTGCTAGTAAAACTGGCAAATATCAGGAAGCTAAATAATCTTATCATTGAAAGAAATATGCCCTTTGTGTTGCTGGTAGCATTGTAAATTTAAACAGTAACATTGGAGGAAGTTAACCCTTCAGAAAGTTTTTCTTTTTATACATTTGGCAGATATTTTCTGTGAACACCTAACTTGGGACCATTGACCTTATTTTCTAATTAGGGACTTTTAGGGGGTAAATTTATTATTATTTTTTTCTGTTTTTAAAGATAAAGCACAAGGAAAATGAAATCCCTGGTAAATCTGCCACCTGTAGATAACCTTTGTTAACATTATGGTACGTTTCCTTATCTTTTTTTCTGTGTCCATTTTTATGTGTCATCCTACCTTTATGTTGAGAATAATAACCTACTTTTTTTTCTTTTTTTTTTTTTTTTGAGTTGGAGTTTCACTGTGTTGCCCAGGCTACAGCTCAGGCTGCAGCGGTCGCGAGTGTGCCTGCTGGACTCAGACAATCTTTCCACCTCAGTCTTCCAAGTAGCTGGAACTACAGGAGCGTGCCATCACACCCGTTACTTTTTTGATTTATTGTAGAGACAAGGTCTTACCAGGTTGCCCAGGCTGGTCTCGAACCCCTGAGCTCAGGAACTCGGGCAGTCCTCTTGCCTCCGCCTCCCAAAGGGCTGGAACTATAGGCATAAGCCACCGTGCCCAGCTTTTTTTGAGGCAAGGTCGCCCTCTGTTGTGCAGACAGTGTTGTACAGTAGCACAATCACAGCTCACTGTAGCCTTGACCTCCTGGGCTCAGGCAGTCCTGCCTTAGCCTCCCAAGTAGCTAGGACTACAGGTGTGCATCATCACACCTGGCTAATTATTTTGTTTTTTGGTTTTTTGGGGTTTTTTGTAGAGACAAAGTCTCATTGTGTTGCCCAGTCTGGTCTCAAAAACTCCTGGGCTCAAGTGAGCCTCCCACCTCAGCCTCCCAAAGTGCTAGGATTGCAGGTATGCACCACTGCTACAGGCCGTTTTAATGTATTTTATATCTAGATACAGTTTCCTCTCTCTCTCTCTCTCTCTCTCTCTCTCTCTCTCTCTCTCTTTTTTTCTTTTTGAGATAGGGTCTCACTCTGTACCCAGGCTTGAGTGTAGTGGTGCAATCCTGGCTCACTGCAGCCTTGATCTGGGCTCAGGCAATCCTTCTGCCTCAGCCTCCCAGGTAGCTGGGACTAGAGGTGCACACTACCACACCTAGCTAATTTTTGTACTTTTTGTAGAGAAGAGGTCTCACTGTGTTGCCCAGGTTAGTCTCAAACCTAAGCTCAAGTGATTTTCTTGCCTCGGCCTTCCAAAGTGCTGGGATTACACATAAATTGCTCTCTCTGATTATTGTAAGCTTGTGGCTATTTCTCTTCCTGTAATTATGTTGTTATATTTTTTAGGAGGAGATTTTGCACTTTTTTTTTTCCTAGAATAAAACTTCATTTTCTTCTTTTTGCTGCTGGTGTCCTGTGAATGAGAGTTTTGGTTGTTGCTGCCTGCCTGGGTTCAATGCTAAGCCCTCAACTCACTGTCCTGGTCTTTCCAGCACCCAGATTCAGCATGTTTCTCAGGAAAGCTGTTCTGTGTGTTCCAGCAGTCCCCCAGCGAGCAGATCACAAAGTGGTGAACACCATTGACCAGCTTGTTACTCGAGTCATCGAAGGCAACCTGTCTCCCAAAGAGAGAGCTCTTCTCAAGGAAGACCCTGTTTACTGGTAGGTCTTTAAATGTTCACCCTGTAGATCCCTCCCATGGAGCATCTGGCAGAGTTTGGGGTGTTCTGATAGTGTTGGGAGCAGAGGTGAGATGTTTAGAGCAGTGGTGTCCTCCAGCAGGAAGAGCATGAGGACTATCTTGGCCTCTCAAATCTCTGCAACCTCTGCTGCAGACCGGTGGCAAGCCAGCCAGCTGGGTGGCTTCTCTCCCCTGTGAATGCATCTCAAAGTCCCTGGATACAGTGAGATGTGCATGCAAAGAGCACAAATTAAGAGGAGTGTGATAGGTCATAAATCACTGCAGTTTTTTTGTGGTTTATTACTAATTTTTTTTTGAGTTGGAGTCTCACTCTGTCGCTGTCTTTGTTTGCATTGAGTGGGTCTGCTTCTGTAGCTTGCTGTTTTCACTGGCCATACTATGGGTCTCTATGTGGATCAACGTTCTCTTTTCTGCATGGTTCTCATCATGATGACTGTGCCATGAGATTTCACACCTGGGGCACAGGCTCCTCAGTTAGTGTTCTCTTGTGGGTCTCATCATACCTACCTCGATGATGCAGTCGAAAGCTCACCACGTGCTCAGCCTGACCAGGCCATTTGAAGGATGTCAGTGCTGCCTGCCAGGGTAACGTGGCTCTAGGGTGTCTGATTTGGATTAGGAGGTCACCATGAGATGAGCTGTGCCCTGTCTCTTGGTGCTGATGACAGAAATCGAAGAGGAACTCAACAGTTTTCCCTCAAAAGCTCCCGATTGCTCTACAGTTACTCTCAGCAGAGTAGGTATCCTGGGCCCGGCTCTCGGTCTTTGGTGGAAGCCAGACAAAGCCTCCCAAACAGCAGAGGACAGCAGAGAGGCTGTCACTTGGGGTTTGTGTTTACAGCAATGAGTTGGGACATGGTGGCATTTTCATAAATGTCTTGTTATGCTTGTTTTGTTATGTAGGTTTTTGTCTGATGAAAATAGTCTGGAGTATAAATATTACAAGCTGAAGTTGGCAGAAATGCAGCGGATGAGCCAGACCTTGCAAGGACCCGACCTGAAGCCAACCTCGGCAGATTGTGCTGTGCGGGCCATGCTGTATGCCCGGGCAGTCTGCAAACTCAAGAAGAGACTGCTTCCATGGCAGCGGCGGGGGCTCCTCCGAGCTCCAGGGGTCCGGGGCTGGAAGGCAAGGAGGGCAACCACTGGGACCCAGACCCTCTTGTCCTCAGGCACCAGGCTGAAGCACCACAGCCGGCAAGCTCCAGGCCCCTCGCAGGCAAAGCCATCCCGGCCAGACAGAAGTGATGCTGCCAAGGACTGCCTGCCAGACCCAACTGGGGACCCCAGCTCAGAAGCCTCAGGCCTATCTCCCAAGCCAGCAGGAATTGATGTCTTTGAAGCCCCTCATGCCTCCTCTCCCTGCCTGTCTGCTGATGGTGGGCATTCACTCCTGTCTCCCTCCTGTGGGCCCTAATCCAACTTTCCCATCTCCAGGGACTCTCTAGAAGTGAGAGGGGGCACTCAGCAGTCTGGGTGAGACAGCAGGCAATAGCTACAGGGACCTGGCCAGGACAGGCGCATGTGGAGGCGCTTTTTCTCTCTTGCTTCCTCAAGAGGGCCACATACAGCTCCTGCTGCCCCCTCCTCTCCTGAGTGTGGAGTTGGCATGAGGTGCTGCCCAATGCCTCTGCTCTCCAATAGGTTCCTGCTGCCAAGGTGGCCAGGCCGTGCATGTTCCTGTGCTAGGGATCCCATATCTTACTGTATCCTTGCCTCTCTCAACATTCCTCAGGGCTGCCCTTGTCTCTCCCCTGCACTTCTTCCCCAAGGTCTGTCTAGTTCTCTCCTCAGAGAGAGTTTGCTGACCTGCACTGCCTCTTCTGGTTAATGAACTTAAACCCTTCTGTTTTCCTGGTCTCCATAGCCATTGCATTCTCTCTGGACAAGACTCCTGTCCTCTACCCAGTTCCCACTCAGCCCTAGATGGAAATAGAGAGAGCAAATAAATCTCCACAGTTGCTGCATTCTCTAGCTGTTGCTGTGTCATGAGCCTTTCCAAACTGTGGTTTAAAACAGGAGACCTCCAGTACTGCTCTGAGTCTGCTGACAGCAGGGGCCCAGCCACGCATGTGTCTGCAGTAGTGGCAGGTGTCTAGAGCTGTCTGCTAAGGTGATGGGGGTGTCTGGGCCCCCAGGAGCCAGCCCCAGTTTGTTTACTGATGGGATCAAGGCTCCTGGCAGTGCTTGAGGCCTCCATGCCCCAGGGTCAGAACAGGCAGCTGGCACTTCTACCACATTCTATAGTCAATTTGAGTCCCAGGAGTCACCAGCCCTGATTCAAGGGGCAAAAACAGTCCATCTCTTGCTGGACAGAACTACAGAGTCGTGGCAAAGGCTACAGGGAGGGGACACAAGAGACTGGCTTGTCCCCTCCAAAACCAGTCTCCATAGCCCCACAATGTTTGCACAGGAAATAGCAGCTCAGAAGTGATTTCTGACAGGGTCTTTATGTTTTGTAGTTGACATGAAGACAATGGAGACTGCAGAGAAACTGGCCAGATTTGTTGCCCAGGTAGGACCAGAGATTGAGCAATTCAGCATAGAAAACAGCACTGATAACCCTGATCTATGGTACGTACCCCTGGGGTCTTATCACACCCCTTTTTTTTTCCTTTCCAGGAGTTTGAGACCAGTTTGCTAGGGGAAGAGAGAAAGATGAGGATTTGCTGTTCATGAAGCAGTAATCGGCCCTTGCCCAAGTCTGGACAGCAGATTTCTACTCAGTGATAGCATGGCATCCTCATGTTGGGAGGGGGCACCTTTACCCTTTCCATTCCTCAGGTGGGGTGTCACCTCAGAAGCACATAGTCTGTAGATGAGAGAACCAGGGTTGGGAGCCCACTCTGCCCCTGGAGTTGTTCTCAAGGGTAATGTGGAGGGGCCTCCCTCAGAGAGCAGCTGCTGGGGAGACTCTGGCCTCCTTTTGCTGCTCTCAACTTGTTGGAGAGTCAGGTGAAGTTGAGGGCCAAGCACGATGGCTCAAGCCTGTAATCCCAGCGCTTTGGGAGGCCGAGGCGAGAGGATTGTCTGAGCTCAGGGGTTTGAGACCAGCCTGGGCAACTTGGTGAGACATTGTCTCTACAATAAATCAAAAAAAAAAAAAAAAAAAGCCGGGCGTGGTAGCGTGTGCCTGTAGTTCCAGCTACTTGGAAGGCTAAACCAGAAGGATTGCCTAAGCCCAGCAGGTCGAGTCTGCGGTGGTCGTGAGTGTGCCACTGCACTCCTGCCTGGGTGATGGAGTGAGACTCCGACTCAAAAAAAATATATACAATTGAAACCTTAGATTTTTCAAAGCATTAATAGGACCCAGTGGTGACGCAGCATGTTCTTCTCGCTTGTATGGAACATATCTGTGTGAGCTGAACCCCAAACTCCAAAGCCTTGGCCCTTGACTAGGTTCCACACTGGGAGTGCCACCTGCCTTGTGAACCACCAGCCACCTTGCAGGTAGAAGGGCTGGCTGGGCTCACAGCCTTGTTCTGCCTTCTATAGGCACTGGTGACCCTTGGGAAACTGCTGGGCCCTGCAAGGCCTTAAGAGTCGGGTCTGCTGGCTGTGTGGGGCCTTGCCCTGGCAGGACTGGGTAAGGGACAGCTCAGCACAGGGCAGCAGGGGTTCATCAGTCCTTTTTCATTTTTTTCAATGACAACTGCAGGTTGAGTGAATTTTATGTCATCCTTTGCACTTGAGCTCTACCAGGGTTTTGGGTGACTTCTCACCCTCTGTGACAGCCTTTTCTGGACAGTGTTCTTTGGAATGCTCTGCCATCTAGAAGGAGAGACCTGGATCCTGACTGAGACACTGGGCAAGATGGAGGATGCTGTCCAGTGTGCTCATAAATAGGCCCAGATGACAGCTTCTTTTGCCATTAGAAAAATTGTACTTCTGACGTGCTCAAGCTCCTTAATTCATTTTGTGTGTGTGGTTATATTATCAGTTTGTTGTAGTCATTTGTTTTTATTGATATTTAGGGTTTTGTTGTTGCTGTTGTTTAAGACACAGTGTCTCATTATCTTGTGCAAGCTAACCTTGAACTCCTGGGCTGGAGGAATTTCTACCTCAGTCTCCTGAGTAGGTGGGCTTGCAGGCCTGGGCCATCACACTCAGCTTGTTTCTGCTGATATTTAAGACTTTTGTTTTTCCTTTTTAAATTTAAATAGATTAACATTGTTGCAAAGTAAAAACTACAAAAGCTAAGCTCAGGGAAATGTCTCTCATGCTCATCCCTCTCATCCCTCTACCCATCAACAGGAAACCATTTTCTTTCTTTTTTGTTTTTGAGTTGGAGTCTCACTCTGTCACCCAGGCTGGAATGCAGTGGCACACTCATGGCCACCACAACCTTGACCTGCTGGGCTCAGGCGATCCTTCTGCCTCAGCCTTCCAAGTAACTGGAACTATAAGCGCACACTACCACACCTGGCTAATTTTTTGGTTTATTGTAGAGACAAGGTCTCACCAAGTTGCCCAGACTGGTCTTGAACCCCTGGGCTCAGACAGTTCTCTCGCCTTGGCCTCCCAAAGTACTGGGATTACAGGCTTGAGCCACTGCACCTAGCCAACACAAAATCATTTTCATTCAATTCATGTGTTTGTGGGTATGTGTGTGTTTCTCATCCCCTCACCTCCTCCCCCTTTTTCAAGTTTTTGAGACAAGATTTTACTCTGTTGCCCAGGCTGGAGTATAGTTGCATGATCATAACTTACTGCAACTTCAAACTCCTAGGCTCAAGCAATCCTCCTGCCTCAGCATCTCCCAAAATCCTCCTCTTCCTGTTCTTACCTTTACCCTTATGACTTCTTCCTCTACTAACTATTAGTAGCATTCACATTGTACATTTTTTTTTTTTTGAGTTGGAGTCTCATCCTGTTGCTCAGGCTGGAGTGCAGTGGCACATTCATGGCCATGCGCCACCTCAACATATTGGGCTCAGGTGATACTTCTGCCTGAGCCTTCCAAGCAGCTGGAATCACAGGTGCATGCCACCATGCCCAGCTGATTTATTTTTTAAACATTTTTTATTGTAGGTCATGCCAAGTTGCCCAGGCTGAACTTGAACCCCTGGACTTAGGCAGTCCTTTCTCCTCCACCTCCTAAAGGGCTGGAATTATAGGCATGAGTCTCTGTTTCTAGCCTTTCTCTTTTTTTCTTTTTTTTTTTTTTTTTTTGAGTCAGAGTCTCACTCTGTCACTCAGGCTCTTGGCCACTGCAGCCTTGACCTGCTGGGCTCAGGCGAGCCTTCCGCCTCAGCCTTCCAAGCTGGAACTACAGGTATGTGCCACCATGCCTGGCTTATTTTTTAATTTATTGTAGAGATTTGATTTATATCAGGTCTTGCCAAGTTGTCCGGGCTGGCCTCGAACCCATGGGCTCAGGCAGTCCTCTCACCTCGGCCTCCCAAATTACTGGGTTTATAGGCGTCAGCCACTGTGCCTGGCCCTTTTTTTTTTCCTGAGTCAGAGTCTCGCTCTGTCATCTAGCCCAGGCTATAGCCTCGACCTCCTGGGCTCAGGTGATCCTTCCACCTCAGGATCCTGAGTAGCTGAGACTATAGGCACCACATACCTAGATAATTTTTTAAAAAATATTTGTAGAGAGGAGGTCTTACTGTGCTGTCTAAGCTGATCTCGATCTCCTGGGCTCAAGCAGTCCTCCCCACCTCATCCTCCCAAAATTCTGGATTGCAGGCATAAACCACAGCGCCCAGCCCACATTGCTTTTATGAGTGCTGCCCCCTTCAAATGACCTCCTACATGATGGCTTTGTGTTTATGAAGTTATCTTAGTCCATTTTTCTGTTGTGTATAACAGAATACCTGAACATGAATAATTTGTAAAGAAACAAAATGGAGCCGGGCTCGGTGGCTCAGCCTGTAATCCCGCGCCTTTGGGAGGCTGAGGTG